CTTGCGGATTCGTTCATAATCAAAATGTGGAGTGCTTATTGCACCTGAACCTTCTGTCTGTCTGCTAGACTGCGAGGTACAAGTACGCAAGCTCGGTAGTTTCTCTCACGTGGCATAACTTTCTGGCGTACGCATGGTACGCAAGGTTGTTTTTTTCGGGCGATCAATTTTGTATTAATAATCTTCAATCATTAAATACTGCAGCGCTCGTACTGTGCGGTTGTCGTCTCGCGTCTCCATTCTGTTCGCGCAAATCGTCCAAAGAATGTATCGTTTGAAACTCGCCCACTTTTCTATCCCATCGCAACAAGACAACGAGATGGATAGTGTCAGTAGGAACAAGGTGAGAAAGTAGCATATGACTGCTAGTGTGACGTTCAAGTAACTCGTCAGAAACTGATTCGGCGTGCAGAAACGTAACGCGGGTTATTACTTAACGCATACTTCCGTAGATTCACATGATTTGGTACGTTCTTTCAGACAGTATTTGACGAGTTAGCGCCGGCGATTGCTTCTGTGTTACAGGCAAGACCTCGTTATAGTACTCTACGTTGTGTATGAGTATTATTTACACACATATTCACCGCATGTCTGCGGTGAGATAGAGTGGTGAAATGCTATAGAAGCTCAAGTACCATGTGGTGTCAACGCACGCTAAGGAACAAGGCATGGTAAGAATTTATGAAGGCCTCAACCAAAAGCCTCCTATTCATATCGTGGTTGTCGCGCGTTACACCCAAAAGTTACTATTATTAGCTTCGCTGCACTGCAAAGAACCTTTAAATAAACGTCGAACAGTAGTGGTCACCGAAACAAATGGCCACACGGTGTTTATATAAAAACACGGGGAATTACGGTGCTTTATCGATCATGTGGAACACGCGTACGTTGTTGTCGCATCACGCATAACCCTTGGGAGATGATTGTATGTACGGACTAAGGTGTTCTTGCTATCCGGTTGCAAGACAAACGAAGGTGTATGCATGGCTTGCGAATTCGCAAGCACTATGTCAAAAAACCTGCATGTGTGCTGTCTGTCTGTTTCACGACGTCATTGATGACGCCGTTCTCGACCTTGAATCTCGGTGGCGCCTGAAAGAAGCGCTCCCGCCGTTCTGCTTCATCGGTTCGGCGACCTCTTTCAAAGCGTCTTCGTCATACAACTGAAACACAAAGCTTTCGGACCAATACATCATGGGTCCCACCAGGCGAGTGATGGAAAAGTGACAGGTCTCGAAAGCGAGGGTTCAGATTGATTCACCTAAGGATTCAATGTAGTGTATGGTGTCTCCCGTGATACACTCGATGAAAATGAGGTGGGAATAAAAAAGACAAAAGAAATTGGCAGAGCGAGTCAAGGGGGTGTTGTACCCCGATTCTTTAAGGTTCGCATATTATTAACGTGGAAAGATGGAGCCAGAAATGTCTTGCTCAACGTAGTTATTTTCGTACCGTCTAGCGATGGATGCACTTATAATGTACCCGACTGCAGTAAGCGGCGAAACGAAAACCGCTTACGCTGTTCCAGATGTAATAATCTCTCACTGTGTTCAAGGTTAATTAAGGCCCACGTTCCCCAAGGATCATTATCTTCGATTCGTTACATATGCCAAGCCGAGTGATGAAAGCTTGTGACAGTGGCGTTCAGGCTTCGTGAGTAAGCAACAACAAGGAAGAAAATTGTAAGAAAAAAACGAAACTTCATTGTAGTAGAAGGGGTTAAGAGGAATTCAAAAGCTAACTTGGTGGTGCTTCAAGTCCAAGGCTCCACTGGCTTTCGTAGCCTGTCGGACGTGGTGCAGGAGCACAAATTGCGTCTCAGTATCCCGGCTTGCGTGATGTGCCTCCCACTGCTTCGTTTTAAAGTCTGTATGCTACGGATTACAGATTTATCTAAACGTGCTGGTTTTATTTCAAACCCCAATGAAGTCCGAAATTGCTTTGGTCTGCCGCCACACCAAGGACAGACATCTCGGCACAGTGTAGCATGCACGTTGAATCTACAATGATTCCATAAAACTCATGCTATGAAAGAGAAAACTGACGAATCAATGAGAAGATGTGAAAAAAAAAAATGCTGGAATTGTGGACGAATCTTGCATTAATACGTGACGAAAATAAGTAAGCAAAAACTTGCGTTCAATAAAAGGTTTGCTAAGATCAACTCTTCGCCTTGATGTAAAAGAAGAATATGTAAAATATATTCGATATGCAAGGAATGACCCACGTCATGCACCATTTGCCTAAGCTGTAACGCGTTCGAAGGCGTTTGCTTTTATAACGTCAGCGGAGGGTTTAAATAATGTTGTTAAAACATGGAACTTCTGCTGTGTCTTAGTTGAAATTATGCGCGATTTATTTCACACTATTTTTATTCTGGCATGCTGCAGCCCTATTCAGCAGTGAGGATTAACATTGCATGTCGACATCACGCAAGCGCAAATATTTAGCGACTGCAGAATTTTTTTAGGGGCGAAGTTCCTTATATAGGGTGTGAGTCGTTCCCTCCTCTGTAATGGTATGTTGTAGTAGCCCCTTATAATGAGTTTTCAGAATTGTTCAGTTGATGGCGTTGAGTGTATATGTCCTTGGAAATATTTTAGCTGGAAGGCGCTAGTGGTTTTAGTATAGTAGACGACTAAACAGGATATATGGCGCTGTTATAATAAGAAATTCACAGCACATCCACGGAGTGAATGATGATGAGGGGGGCGAAGCGTCCGTTCATCTGTTCGTCCGTACGATGCCCGTCCGTACGATGCGGGCTCTAGTGCGATTGGAGTGGGTGAATGAACAGATGGATTGACAGACAGGCGGACGGACGCTTCTACGCACTCATCCTCATTCACTCCATGAATATACCATAGATTTTCTTTTTTCTTTCCACTGATTATACGTTGAGCCCCGCCACGGTGGTCTAGTGGCTAAGGTACTCGGCTACTGACCCGCAGGTTGCGGGTTCGCATCCCGGCTGCGCCGGCTGCATTTCCGATGGAGGCAGAAATGCTGTAGGCCCGTGTGCACAGATTCGGGTGCACGTGAAAGAACCCTAGGTGATCGAAATTTCCGGAGCCCTCCACTACGGCGTCTCTCATAATCATGTGGTGGTTTTGGGACGTTAAACCCCACATATCAATCAATCAATGATTATACGTTGAGACGCTTCATATTTTAGACTGTGAAGGCGATGTTTAACTATGAGGACACTGTGTTTGACGTTGAGCTAGTAGGTTAGGGAGCTGCATGACTTAGTCATGGTATATATTGCGAGAGGTTACCGCGTGCTTACAGGAGGTTTTCAAAAGCCTAGAATGGGAACAGTTAGGGATAAGAGTCAATGGAGAATGCCTTAGTAACCTGTGCTTCGCCGATGACATTGCATTGCTGAGTAACTCAGGGGACGAATTGCAACTCATGATTACGGAGTTAGACAAGGAGAGCAGAAAGGTGGGTCTTAAAATTAATCTGCAGAAAACGAAAGTAATGTACAACAACCTCGGCAAGGAGCAGCGCTTCGAGATAGGTAATAGTGCGCTTGAAGTTGTAAAAGGCTATGTCTACTTAGGGCAGGTAATAACTGCAGAGCCGAACCACGAGATTGAAGTAACTAGAAGAATAAGAATGAGGTGGAGCACATTCGGCAAGCACTCTCAAATTATGACAGGTAGATTGCCACTATCCCTCAAAAGGAAGGTATATAACAGCTGTATCTTGCCGGTACTTAGCTACGGAGCAGAAACCTGGAGACTTACAAAGAGGGTTCAGCTTAAATTGAGGACGACGCAGCGAGCGATGGAAAGAAAAATGGTAGGTGTAACCTTAAGAGACAAGAAGAGAGCAGAGTGGATTAGGGAACAAACGGGGGTTAAGGATATCATAGCTGAAATCAAGAAGAAGAAATGGACACGGGCAGGGCATGTAGCGCGTAGACAGGATAACCGTTGGTCATTAAGGGTAACTGACTCGATTCCCAGAGAAGGGAAGCGGGTTAGGGGGAGACAGAAGATTAGGTGGGCAGATGAGATTAAGAAGTTTGCGGGTATAAATTGGCAGCAGCAAGCACAGGACCGGGTTAACTGGCGGAACATGGGAGAGGCCTTTGTCCTGCAGTGGACGTAGTCAGGCTGATGATGATGATGATGATGATGATGATGATGATATTGCGAGAGCGGTCGCTTAGAATAACAGAGCACAGTTAATTGGTAAGTATTCATCCTAAAAGACAGAAAGAAGAAGTCAAGACTCTACAAACGCTGACTATCAACTGTAGAGGCGCGGAACGGCGGGAAAGAAATAAGGCACAAAAGCTTATCTGCGCGGGCTTGTGAAAAAGGCGGAACTATGAAGTTGGTTTATCTGCACTGGTCCATGCAGAAGGCGAACATATCAAACTGCGTCTATAGCATTGATAGGCTCTCCTTTCACGTGGTCAAGTTTTCGTTCCGGCTTCGTTTTTACCGTAGTGGTTCCTTTTGCTGACAGTGAGGGTTTATGTTGCTTTGACTTCATTCTAGCGTCCATGTTTGTGCACCTTGTCCTTGAGAATAAAGTGGTTGCGCTCTAAGTTCAGCTATTGATGTGCTTACCCTTGTTTCTTACAGGAGTGGAGACGTGTCGCAAGCGTAAAAGCCTTATACACTGCGTAGTAAATTGGCTGGCAGGAGCTGTCTACATTGAGCTGGACGTATTTAAATTAAAGCGTTTGACGTCGCTAGTCCAAATAAAATTGTTAGACGCCTCTACGGCCAGTTGTGTTTATTCAAGTGTGCATTCAGAGCTTTCGTTATTGAGACATTTTTATCACATGCCGGCCGCCTTCGCTATTGGAATGTATTTTGGCGCAATGTGCAAGCGTGAGCTACACTGCATCTATAGGTAACAGATCCTTGGTGACACAACCATGGGCTCCGGATTTTTCGTTCATTAGAAAATGGGCTTAAGGCAACCGATTTCTCTTTGAGAGGTGCAGTCAGGATTTACGGAAATATTTTCTTTCGCAGGAAACCTCGAAAGTCTACAAAGAAAGCAAGCATGGAGATTGTAATCACGAAGCTTCAGTACATCTCGTACCTCGGCTTCCTTTGTGGAGCGGTGGGTATAATGACGAGCTACGTCATAGCTGTCAGCAATGGTGACGTCCAACCGTGGCTGCCGTACATCAGGTGAGTGCTTACATCTCTCTTCTTTTCCTTCTTCTTCTTCTCTCTCTCTCCCTACTTGTATGCGTTTATCGACATATAAAAAGGACAATCATAAAAAAAGTTAAATGAAAACCACCCATCGTATATCACGAGTCCACAGGGAAGTCCACATGTATTTCTCAGAGAGGGAAGTTTATTTGTTATAAACGAACAATTTGTATGACTTGTTTGGCTGCCGCATGCATTTCATTGTTGTTTCGTGGCTCAAAAAACTGGTTGTGTATGACTTGTTTGCTGCCGCACGCATTTCATTGTTGTTTCGTGCCTCAAAAAGCTGGTTGTCCATTATACCTTACAGAACCCTCCCATCATTTTACGGAACTCCACAGAACTCCCTTGCAATTTGTAGTATTAGGGGTATCATATAGGAACGCGCTAAGGCGAAATTAGGCCCTAACGTGCTCACACGCTGGTGCCTTCGGGCCTAAGGGGCTGGGTAAGATGCTGTGGCCTCTATTTCGTACTCTCTCTCTCAAAAATGACGTGATCACGTCGGGGAACAAGAATCTGCAGACGTGCGACGAACGCTCGTCCTGGCGTATGGCGTGCTGAAAGAAGAGTTCGGGACAAGTAGCAGGAACAGAAACTATACAGTGATGTCACAGTGCCTAAAAGATACTTTTAGGCACTACTTTGCACAAGCAAGTACGCGTTAACGTTGGGAAAGGGGCTCGTGGTGAACGGAACTTTAAGTCAACCCACGTGCTGGTTCGCACGTTGCTCGTGGTGCAGATGTAGTGAGTTTTTCTCGAGCCCCCCAGAATCATTTGGCGACCATCATAAACATGTCATACTTATGGCACGTAAAACTCCAGAAATTGTGATGTAAGACATCACACGCTTGCTTACGTTTACATCACTTTGCTATATTCTGATCAAATGGCGCAAAGATAAGTCGTCACAATGATGAAAGGTGCTTGAGGAGTTTGCACAGTCTAAAGTTCATGTCTAAAGTTCACGTCGCGAGTGCTATTCGCGACAGGTTAACGCACTACCGTGATTCGCAAAGACTGATCCAAGCCAGTTGTGATATTGATTTTCCTACACGTAATTATTATCGGTCAGTGGCTTACAAGTTCACCGCTGAAGAGTTACGGGAATTACGCCTCTCATACCAGGATAAATAGTAATTGCTAATACGCCTATAGTAGTGTGTCACCTGATTGAACATGAACGAAATTGGAATGCGTGAAGTTTGAGGATGCCTGCTCGTACTTCTATGGCGGCCAGGTGCTTATAGAAATTTGTTCTTTCGTGGAAAGTAGATATCGAGTAAACATGAGTACAAATTAAAACTAAGATAATTCGTTTGAATTAACCTTTTTAGCAATGTATCGCTCACGTGAATGAAGATGAATACGAAGATACAAAAAAGCACAGAACATGCGCTGACTCGCGAATGAACGTTTATTAGGAAAGAAAAAAAAAGCAGTCATATAGGAGAAGAAAGCAGAACAACAGGAAAAAGTAAAAAATAAAGAAAGAAATAAAGCAATGACGAATCGATGCTAACACGTAATCGCAATTTGAAAACGTAGCTTATAGAGATAGAAATTCGGCATCCTTGGGCGCAATAGAGTGCAGGGTGACACATACGCTACATTTAATTTCTTTCACTTTATTTAGCCTCAATCGCCCTTGGCTCTGCAGATGTATTTGGCAACGATTCCCTATGGTGATGGCCCCGTCGATAACTTTCCTAGCTATCTGTTTTAGTGTGGCCTAGAAGAATATTATGGTCAGTTACGATCGAGTGCTGTTCGTGTGTGTGTGTGTGTTTGTGTGTTTGTTTGTGTATGTATGTGTGTATATGTGTGTATGTATGTGTGTATGTGTGTGTGCGTGCGTGTGTATGTATGTGCGTGTTTGTGTGTGTGTGTGTGTGTGTTCGTGTGAGTGTGTATGTGTGTATGTGTGAGTGTGTATGTGTGTATGTGCATGTATGTATGTGTGTATGTGTTTGTATGTGTGTATATATGTGTGTATGTCTTTGTGTGTATGTGTGTGTATGCATGTGTGTATATGTGTGTATATGTGTATGTATGTATGTGCGCGTGTTTGTGTGTGCGTGCGTGTGTTTGTGCGTGTGTTTGTGTGTGCGTGCGTGTGTTTGTACGTGTGTTTGTGTGTGCGTGCGTGTTTGTGTGTGTGTGTGTGTGTGTGTGCGTGTGCACTCGCGAATATTTATCATTTTTCACGTGAGCACTGGACCGACTAAAAGATGAACGCGGTAAACCGTTCGTTGTTTTAGTGACTAATTAAGTGCGCCCTTCAAAAGAACAAGATCGAAAAGCCCGCGTAGGAATGGGGTCTACAAAAAGGAACCTTCACTCGTGGCTTCACCATCACAGCCGAAATCTCTAATGAGCGGGCTTGTTATCAATGTGATCGAATCGAGAAATTTGTAGGTGTCACCCCCCTACAGGTGATTGAAAAGAAACTCGTATTTTTTGCATGCCAAGTAAGCGCTTTGTGCAGGTCAGCTGTCACATTTACATATCTCACGACCAGATTTTCTAGTGAACGAGGTTGAAACTGGCGCCATGTGTTTATTGTCTGCATTTTTGGCCGCGTCCAATAATAATAACTGTACTTGGTGCCAAAGCCATCACAGACTTTGTGCCACCTCCATGTTCGCTGTTTACGTCTTCGATACAGTAAACGTGAAAAAAGGTATGCTGTCTGCGAGAAATACAGACGTAAGTGACCATATGTCCAGTGTGCGCATCCTTTCTTTGGCGGCGTTTTTGCATGTAGGTCTATTTTTATTATTTGAAGCCCACCAACTAGCCCAACAACAAGTATTCTGATAACAAATAAATTGCGAAAACGGGAATGCGCTTCGAAAACGCAGACGAAGTATGATAAAGTACGTACACTTCATTCAAGTTTCGTTAATTCATTTATATTTAATTTTTTAATACACAAGACAACACCAACACACACAGTCTTATGTTCACCACTGAACGCATTTCTATCTTAGTATATTAGAAGATATTTTATTTCATGCACCTTTTTATGCTATTGAGCGTATATTCTAGACTTTTAGTATCACTCACTTTAATATCAAACGTTTTAAAAACGTATCCCGTTCCTATAGGAAGTGCGCAAACCACCATGGATTGGCGAGAATTCTCAGGAAGTGTGAGAATGTGAGAAACGCACCTCCTTGGAAAATATTCAACAAAACCAGAAGCGTGGGAGCGCGTCTTTCTGAAACGCGTGCTTCTGGGAACTGCTGCAGCTGGTCGACAAACAGATGCGGATACGAAGTGGGTGGCCTTGAAGTGGCGCGATGCAAATGGTAGACGGGCCGACCGCTATCAGGTGCGTGAGTGCCAATTCAGGCACTCACTTTTGCGGGGAAGCATGATAAACACGTATACATAACTGCGAATTTTCTCAGACAAGCAACTGCCTGTTTACGCATCTGAGCCCATCTGCCGTAGGAATAGGAACGTAAAAATAGGTGCCCTTGCGTACGTGGCCGCGTCACGAACCTTGAGCTCCCAAGCTTTAGTATGTATTCAACAGCACGTCACAATACTTTGTTCGGCGTGTATGCCACAATCTGCAAGCTACAAGCGACTGTTCATGGAACAGTTTAGAACAACGTTAACAAAAGCGCATTAACGCATACATTTACACAGACGTACAACAGACAAAGTAAATGTTAACGAATCAGGAAAGTTGCTTATGGCGCTTTCCGTGGTCTCGCCGCACAAGACACAACTGCAGTGGTCGGCAAAAAAAAAAAGGGGGCTCAATGCAACTCAATCAAGGTATACATTGTGCGCTCGCATGGACTAAAACTGATGGTTCAGTCTGAGTCTCAGTGGGTGTGAGAGAGTCGGCTCATAACTGAATTTGAAACCTATCCCAGTGGTAATGTATATTTTGCTATTTTCGGAATACAAACAAAACCGACTGACGGTTAGCGCCTTGACCTGTGTCGTCCTGTGCCTTCAGGTGCCCCGTTGTTCGCACCGTGTCACGAAGACTTCAGTTCAGCATGCGCGGGAGAGGTGAGAGGGAGGCGTAGCCGTTTTGTGCTTTCCGTAAACGCGGCTGTTTTTCCGCTTAATAAACTGTACTTTTTTTTAAACCACCAAATGAAGCCGGTGTGCTCATTGTGCAGTCAGCGTCAGTGTGCCGGTTCCAGAGACAGTACGACATGTTTATTTATTCGCTGTTCCAGGAGACGCGTTTTAGAGTGGTATCGTTGCACAACGCGGATTACATGCAGCTCCGCGAAACAGCGTCTGAAGAGAACTGACTCGTGCTTAGGCTTACCAAAATTTTTCCTCAAACAGACTCGCTCAGACTCGTGACATGATCATCTCCGGAGTGAGTCCGAGTGAGACGACTCATGGGTGAGTTCATGCACAGAAGTCAAACATCAAGGTCACCTCGAGTTTTTTTTTTTATTACTGCAACCAAACCGGGCTCAGATGAACATGCCCTCCCTGCCTGTCACTTATATTTCTCTTGTTTCGCTCGCCTCTATTTGGGCCTACAAAGCCTTATGTGGTGAGCGTTTCTGCGATATTCATGGCTGCAGATGTAAGTAATCAGCCTGCAACCTCCGACACTCTTCGGACGAAATGCTGATTTGTAGTTTTCTCTCTTTATCTGTTAACGAGAGCATCGTATAGAACGTGAAGAAAATAAATGAATCTCTGACCTATGTGTTAAAAAAAATGGTGAGCGATTTAGAGTACCCGGTACTCTACTATGGGATAGTTAAAGGCCGTCTCGTGGCCTCCCACTTGGTGAAACCCATACAGCTTGGCTGTTATCTCAGTTCAACAAGGACGTTGTGGAAGTAGAGGTAACCGGAACTCAAACTTTTAGATAAGATCACAAACTTCTCGCCGCCAGTCAAGTTCAAGGCGGTGTCGCAGATAACCGCGTCACGTGTTTGTTTATGTATCTCTTTTCGTTATCTGGTTATTGTACGA